TCTATTTTCTTCTTGATTTTCTTTCACAACATATTTAGCTTACTCTTATTTACCCAAGATTCTTTTATACATTTATTTGCTCATGCTTATGTATAGTACCTATGCTTCTGCCTTAAATTTGAATTACCAAACAAATGTGACTAGCTGTACTGAAAGAAAATTTACTGTGTTGAAATTAGAAACTTGCAGTATAAATTTAACCTAAACTAAATATACCTTTGTTTAAATGGGGGACAAAATCAAACTTTAAAGACCCATATTTGCAACACATGTTGACACCACACATATTAGAAATGATAAAATTGAGACATCTGTAAATAGGGTCAGACAGATAAAAATAAGGTCTGTAGTTTCAACATTGCCCTCCTCGTTTGAATGGCTATATTTACACACGTAGAGCTTAGGCGACTGTCACCACTGTGAATTCATTGGCTGCTATGTTAAGAACTCTATTGTGGGAAACAATTTGAAAGGGAGAGATTTTTCTGTGAAAGTTTCAAGATGTATTTGATGATTTGAAATATTTTCAATAAAAAATATGTTCGAGGAGACAGACTGTGAAACGGGGTGGGGGGGGGAATCAACCAAAACCTTCAAATAATTCTTTGTGTACACTCATTGAGAACCTTTTACTGAAGTTCAAGACATAGATTATTTTGTTTATTTTATTCTTCATTAAAGTGCACCTCTGTCTTAAACTAGAAGTTAAGTGCCAAAAGTCTATGCATGTCTCTTCTCAAGTGTGTCCTGAAAGATGGGAAACAGGAAGTACTAAGAATCCTGTGAGAAACCTTGTCTTTGGATTTCTTCTCAATTCGTATAGGTTTTGTGTTATGAATTTAAAGCTAAGCCAAACTTCTTGCTGAAGGCAATCAGGGAAAACCTGAGTTCTTTGTCTATTTAATTTTAGGAGCTCTAATGTTGCCCCAGATCAACCTCTATATAGAAAGGTCTCCATGCCTACTTGAGGTGGCCTCTCCCAACTGACCTGGATAGGGACAATATAAGAGAACCAGTAAAAGTTTTCAAGGACAAAATGGAATATGACCAGTATATTGAATAGGAAAATTAAATTTAACAGTAAAGGTGTTAAGGCAGAGTGGTACTTAAAATCTCAGCTCAGATTTTTAAAACTTGCTTGGCAAAGAAGTTTTATTTTTATACATGGAAAAAATGGATAGGTTCAAATACTGTGAAAGACAAACTCCCAAAATAACCAGATGGAGAACAGCAAATACTGAGGACATGTTAAGGTGATGCCTTGATTCCTGGTATAACATAAATGGGTGAAAGTAGGCAGAGATTACTTTAAATTAAGTCAAAGACATTAGACTATGTAATGCTCATTTTCACAACCATGGGATGTCATGGGTAGATTTCTGGTCTAATAAATTAGAAGACATGGCTTTTTATCCTGGTTCTGACACTTAATATCTGCACAATTTTGGACTAGATACTATGATTCTTACCTATACTCTAGGGCTTGTAACATCCATTCAGTCTGCATCACTGTATCATTTTAAGAATCAAAGAAGATAAAGGTTTTTAAAACACTACACAACTCTACGGATAAATTACAAGACTGTGATAATAAGTAGAAACAGTATGTAGACTTTTCTGGCAAGCAAGATTTGGATTCAAGCCACTTTGGAAGTAATGACAAGGAAGGACTGACTTCCAAAGTAGATGATAACCAATGGATGAGAAGAATCAAAGACAAGAAGCCAAATACAAAGAAAAGGTGAAACAGGAATGAGTACTATCAAAGGAAGTAAAGGGTCAGGAAAAGATTAGTCTTGCCTGAAGAAGTCACTAATATAAATGGTATCCCTAATAAAGAAAGTTAATATAGAATTACTGAGATACGAATGTTATTAAGGGAGCTCCAAGTGAAGAAATGAGATGGGGAAATGACTAGAAGAGATAATTAACTGAGAAGACCTGCCATTTGGGAAACAGTGTGATATCTTTCCAATTTGCCTGTGGTTGCCATGCATGTTTCTTGGATTTCCAGATCCGGTGAGATGTCCGTAATGCACAGCCGGCTTCTTACATCCATGACAGTCCCTTCCTCACTTTCACGAATGTCCATTCTAAGATGACAGGTTATGCTGATATCTTTTAATACCAGGTAGTCATGATACATTAAAGTTTGCTTAGTAAATTACTAAAACTAAAGATCTTTCCAACACGCTAATCCGTATTCCTTTTACTCAGGAAATGCAGGCATTTTCTTCCACAGGCAGTGCCAGAATTGTTTCCTCTGGTGCCAGGACTTTTTTGATCAACTTTTCACTCATAGATCTTTTCAAATTATCCTAAAAAACAAAACAAAATAAAATACACCTACCTCTTTTAGTGACATCTGAGATAGGAAATCGTTGTCATCTCTAAGTATATGTTCTCTTAAACAAGAAATATATCAAAAATAGAAAGTGAAAAAAACATTGATGCAAAAATCCAAAAAAAAAAAAAAGAAAAAGAAAAAAAACTCTATGATGTCTGAAACAGAAGTTTCTTATAGCTGCTGTTTTTTATCTGAGGTTTTCTCTCTAAAAATAAATCCTTCAAATAGGAACAGTGTCATTTTACATTTTACATAACTATTGGCAGTTAGCAACTAATAAATACAAGTTATAACTATAACATGATATTTTCTAAACTAGGATGTTACTTGCTGATTAGGAAAACTAAAAGGACAGTGCTCATTTTATTTCAGGGACAAGTGATAATTTAGAATTTTTATCCAGTCTCATGTGACTGTAGCTTCCAAATTTTAATCAATACATGATTGTCATTTGAACAATTAATGCTAAGATTTCCTTGGTAGTATACTATAACTCCTGTGAATTTAAAAGATGATTTTCTTATACATTCATGACTCTAAATTATGTGCATCTTGCATCTGATTATCACTCTAGGAGGATGAACAAAGGTCATTAAAAAGTAAACTGAGCATAAGCTAAGGCATCGATTGTGATTAATTCTCAGATCTGAAGGCCAAAAGTTAATAGGCACAGAGAAAACCTCCTTTGACATCCTACAACAAGTACACTAATCACTTAACTAGTAGGTAGGATAAAATTTCTAACCAATAGATACAGTCGAGAGGTTGTTTTTTTTTTTGTTTTGTCTTTGTTTTTACCACGAACTTTTCCGACAGCAACAAGTTATTGGCACAGAAGAAAATACTAAAAGATGATGAATCATTCTTACCCCTTAGAGATATTGTCTTTCATCTTACTCTGATTTTCTTGCCTAAGTTTTTTATTTCCAAAAAAGATTCTTAAAAAATTTAAGTGGCCGCCACATTTTTCCCAAATCACTCTACTCAAGATCTATCCAAGTTAGGTTTGTGTTATGATCAGTATAGGGCAGGGCTCCTTTCTCTATTGGTGCCCGGTAGAATAAGGGCAACTCAAGAGAGAAGTGTGGCTTTTCCCATCTTGCAGAAGTCACAGAACTTTCCCTACTGGGTGTCAATGTGAAATTTTTATGTCTGAATTTGGGCCTGCTGCCAAGGGTGTTGTAAATTAGAAGGATCGTATACATAGATGCACCCCAGTTATTTTTCAGGTTTGGCTTCATGGGCAAATTTCCTGCCATATGCTGGGCCACATTCCCTTGGAGGACAGGTTTGTTGGCAAAGGTCTGGAATGCCCATGAGCTGTTCTTTCCATGTTTCTTAATCTGTGTAGAAGACAATAAGACGTTACGCCTGCTAGATGGAGTTGGAAAATTTTGGTTCTTCAAACATATTCTATTTTATAATTTAAGCATTAAATTTAAAATACTCCCTAGCGTCCCCTTTTTGGAAACTACAGAAATGATTCAGTGCTGTATTTCTCCAAGGTAAATTAAGTGCCCATTCTGGTACGTTGCATTTGAATAACACCTTGTAAACTAAGGATTGATTGAACCTTCTGAAAACAGAATGAGAAAACCTAATAGGCCTTTCCCCTGAGGAATAGTAGTATATTAGACACTCTATAAAACGTAAATGTTCTTTATTTCCATTCAGTTGCTAGGATCCAAGAGTGCTTCTGCATTCTCTATCATTTTTCATGTGTACAGTATATCTTTAAAGATCTGAGAGAATGAATATTCTCAGTTGAAGATTGCAACACTCTAAGCTAGGTCTCCCAAGTCCTTTTGTAATACCATGACAACAGCTCAATGAAGTCTTCCTTTTCTGAATAATTTATACAGTGATCTGGGAACTTGATGTGGGAGCCTCATCCTAAAGCTGGGGTTAAGATATAAAGTAAGCGAATGGTTATGACACAAGACCAGGTATCAAAAATCCCAAGAATTTATTGTGATTTTAGACAGGTTACTTTTCAGGTCCTGTGTTTCTGCATCAATACACTATCTTTTGATCCCACAATACTACTATAAAATTTAATTAATATTATTGTTTTGGGACTCTCAAATGAATGAAGTAAAGTAAATTAAAAATAGTTTTATTTATATTATTTATTTATTTTAAAAAATATTTTTTATTTATATTTTTATAGTTTTATTCATATTTTTCTTCTGGACTATTCTGTTTCTTATTGGACCCATTTCCTTAGAGAAAGTTATACTATAACTTTTCCAGACCATTATTTGAGTGTAAGTCAGCTACCCTGGGTATAAGATACACCCAAGGAAATAAATTATATTTAGGAAGCAAACATTACTCTGACAACATCTGGCTTAATAATTCTTTATTTGACATGTTATATGAGGGTACTTTAAGAAGTTCATGTAAAATAGAATTAAAAGATAGCATGAATCTTTCCATGAACTTTTTGAAGACCACTTGTATACGTAACTCCTATTTAAATATATATGTATATGTTCTTGAGTCTCTAACAAAACATTTTCATGGTAAAGTACCTAATTAAAAAGTATAATCATAAATAAATTTTAGAACTAGTTGAATTAAAGTTGTTGGTTTTTTTTTTTTTTTTGTAAAGTATTTGCAAAAGTTAAGTCTTATTTTCACTTCTTTGTAGTTTATTAGAACATAAAATCTTAGAGATGGAGGGAAAGCACAAAGAAGAGTTGGACACCTTAAAGGAAGAGAAAGAAAACCTTCAAGGCTTGGTTACTCGTCAAACATATATAATCCAGGAGCTGGAGAAACAATTAAACAGAGCCACCACCAACAACAGTGTCCTTCAAAAACAGCAGCTGGAACTGATGGACACAGTCCACAACCTTGTCAACCTTTGTACTAAAGAAGGTGGTAAGAATTTCCTTCTCACTTTGGTCTTGTAAATATTTTATTTCATATGAGCAAGTAAATACTCAGTATGATTTTCTACATTGCATTGATTTCTGTGTAAAAATAGAACTTTATTCTTAGAAGCACTAGAGAAGTTTTTGTTGATAATTTTCTCATGTTTCTAACTTCAGAGAATGTATTGATAATCTTGAATTTATGAATCCACAATAGCTTTCTAAAAGAGCTGTCTAATTACTTCTTTTTTTCTTAGTCTTTTTAATCTTAGATAAAATCTACTATACAGCCATGGATAAAAATTTATATTATTGTGTTAGACACTTAACTACATGCAGCAGAAATTAGCCAATGTTAAAGACTAGTTCAAAGTTCAGGGAGAGTTTCAAGAAAATTCCCATTTTAAAACTAATATTAATTGTTTCTTCAGTGAGTGCAGAGGGAAGTATTGCTTGCAGAGAAAAGGAGGTAGAGAGAGCTCCCAATAACTATCATGAGTGAGAAAGGATCATTGTTATTAAAAGTATTTATTAAGATCACTTGTGCGTAGTCCTGTGCAGAGAAGATTTAACCAGGGTCTCTAGGCACATTTATTCTGGAGTGTCTTTGTAACAGTAGAAATTACAAATTTTTGATATCAGTAGGATTTCTGCAGCCATTTAACCACTGGAAATATCTGCAGGCCTGTATCTCTTTAGAAGACATCCATCTGTCTATCCGCCCATCCACCCAACAACTGTCTTATTTTATTTTATTTTATTTTTAAACCGGTAAGGGGATCTTAACCCTTGTGGTGTTGTCAGCACCACGCTCAACCAGTGAGCAAACCGGCCATCCCTATGTAGGATCCGAACCCGTGGCCTTGGTGTTATCAGCACCGCACTCTCCCGAGTGAGCCACAGGCCGGCTCCACACCCAACAATTATTGAATAAATATCTCTGAGTATCTCTGTGAGTGAGCACCTGTCCACTTCAAGCAGAACCTCTCCTGAGCCTCAGTACAGCTCTTCCAAGTTTGGATCTTGAGGTGATCTTCTGTAATTCTACTCTCTAGTCAGCCTTTCTTTGAATGAGATAGAACTGTAAATGGTGATGAGTGAAAGAGAGCTCTGCTTACATCAGAAGGTTCTTGCTGTCATTTAGCCATTGGTTTATGTGACATTTCACATATAACGGTTCAGTGTGTATATGCAATGTGTATATATGGAGCCTCCTTTAATTTAATAGTGGACTTCAGTTACATGGAAAATTAGCTCCATTTCATACTTTCTGGTATAGATATGCATATACAGAACAATTCCATAGTGAGTGATCTTGTTTTAAAGACATTTCACATTTCTCTTTTATACTCCATTACCTTGAGTTATATCTCTTTTAAATAGTCTTAACAAGCCTCTAATATACTTTGTAATGTTTTCAAACAGTGAGTTTCCAGTGCTCCATTTGGGTGTACTCAGTAATGTGATTGGGAAGGAAAAAACCTGCTAACCAGTCAGAGCCTGCCAAAACCTTGAGTTAGAGTCCACTGGAAGGAAAGCATGGTAGGATTTTGCCAGAGAATTTTAATAGATCTCATGAGTATTTAGAAATTAAGTATTAATATGAGATATCTATTCTCATATTGAACCAAGTATATTTGGGGAAAGATTGAAAACACATTTTTCTTATCATCCTGAGATTTCAAACACATGGAGTTGGGTAGTTTTTTTTTCCTGATTTTAGCGATGTCAAGCCCTGGTGATTCTCACAGAGCTCATATGTCTGCCCACTTATCATAATTTAACTTCTGAGTTTTTGTCTAATAAATATGTCTTTAAGCTTTTACAGGCAGGAATGTAAGTTTAAAATGAAAAGTGCTGGCTAGGTTTGGAATTGGTGTGCAATATCAAGCAACCAAGAATCTATTTAATTCAAGAAATAGTTGTTGAGCAATTGCGATGGTGATCGTGATAGAAGCTGCCCTTACATCTACTCAGGGTGTGAAATGTAACTTTGTCTATTCTATGCTATAACATATCTAAAAAATTGTAATAATAACAATAGAGACTGAAATTATGTCATACTCCAGTCCCCTAGATATCTATTTTCCTTTTAATAATACAATCCTAAAATAAATCCTATTTAACTACATGATTTGAGATCCTAATGTAACAATATTGCCTAATTTCTCAATGGGTTCTGTGTTCTCATAATCATAGATTTTATTTGCTTTCGTTAATCTACTTTTTTCTCTAATCTCACAGTTAAATATTCTAACTAAATATTTAGTTACTTTAGGGCTCATAAAAGACACAAAACTGGAAAGCAGCTCTCAATAAGGTTTCTATCAAAATTCTTATTCTTTGCATATCTTTATTTTCATTGGAGCCATAGTCTTCAGTTGTTGTGGATTAAAATTTTTAAATCGCTAATAGCATAATACTGGGTTAAATATTAGATACTAAAATAAATGTTTATTTTATTCAAATTTTAAAATACATATGTAAAACCTATCTCTATTTTACGATGAAAAATTTATTTATCATATGGATTTGTTATTTATTAAAGGATTACATGTACATGTTTTACTTTTAAATTCACATTTATTTTTGTCTCACCTCTGTCTGCAAACATTTGGTCACATTTATTCTTGGAAACATTACCCACTTAAAAAGTATTGCCCTCAATATTATCACAGTGTCAAAGCTCAGCTGATTGCTTCATGTTTTTGGCAATTCACAGTTATTGCTGGAATTAAATAGTTTACATTGATAATGGTGTGAAAACAAGGTTTGGAATCCTTTGGGGGAGGATAGTCATCCTCTGTGATTATCAAACATTCACTAGTTATCTATGCATAGTGGTGATTAAAACATCATCACATATGTTGAACACACACGGGGCAAACATCATATTATGTCATTGACAATTTACTGACAAAGAATGAAAAAAAGGAAGGAAGACAGAAAGAGAAGAAAAAATTAAAAAGAAAGTAGTATTTAGGCAACATCATAACATTACACAGGCTCATTGTCTCACTGTCCAAATCAGCTTGGGGCACATGCCTGCTATACCAAGATGTGATTCATAAACTTATCCATTCATTCAAAAAACAGTTCTGCAACAACTATTCTGTTTCATATTCTCTTTTGGGAGATAAGGATGTTTGTCTATTTTTATTTAACAAGTATTTGCTCAGTTCCTATAGTGTGCCAGATATTGTTGAGATCTCTGGGAAAAATAAAAGATGTATTTCAGTCTGGCTTCAAGAAACCTAGACTTTGATAGGGAGATAAACTGTAAACAAACAGTTATACTCCTAGATTCTTTGCTAGAGGTAAGCCCAAGGTACCCGGGCACCAGCAAGCAAAGCACAAAAGGGGAATAATAAAATCACGCAGGGACAGAAGAATGAGGCAAAATGCAGCATGTGTAAAGTCTTTTGGGGATTTTATTGAAGGCTTATTATGACTCTAGCATTGCTTAAGCTTTACATGTATTAACTCAGCTCTCACAGCAACAGGATGAAGAAGCTACTATGGCTGGCACCATTTTATAACTTCCATGGGGAACTTAGAATTTGCCCAAAGTTACATAGCCGGGAAAGATTTACCTAGGATTAAAACACAGGCAAGCTGGCTCTAATGGGGAGATGATGGCTAAATCTTCAAAATGAAGAAAGTGGAGGACTCTCAGAGAATGCAAGCAATCTGTATGTTTGTCAGAAGTCATGGGAGCATGTGGCAGGGGAGGTAACACATAGACCCATAGCCTAATCTCAGAATCAAGGGCAGGAGAATAGTGAAAGATGAGGTTAGGAAGGTAAACTGAGAGACTAAGGAGGCCACATCATTTTCCCTTAAAGCAATGAGGAGTCATTGTCAATGTACAAGGACAATGGCTATATTTGCATTTTAGAAAAATTACTCCAGTCACAATGTGGGAAGAATGTACTGAAAGTTGAGAAGCCTGGAAGCAGCAGGACCAGATGGGTGTTTTTTCCGTTACCATAATATTAGCAAATACTTATCACAAGCAGGTCTTCTGATCCCTTTGCATATTTAATTCTGATAATTAAATTATAACTCACTTAATTCTGATAACAACTCTGTAAAATAGGTTTTATTATTAACCCCATGTGAAAGATTAAAAAAAGAAAAAACAACTAAGCACAGAGAGGTAAATAATTTTCAAGTATCACACTGCTGGCAAGTGTGTGAGCTGAGATTTGAATCCAGAGGCTCTGGTTCTGGAGATCGTACATTACCCACTGTACTGTGTTGGAAGGGGAAGGTAGAATTGATGATTTTCATCAGATTCTCAAAGTGATCTCCTAGGAAAGAAATAGTAATATCAAGATCAAGCCAAAGCAAATGGAAAGGTAAGTGGAGGAAATTTGAAAAAGAAAAAAAAATTAAATCAACAAGAAATAATGACTTTCTAGAGGTAAAATTAAATATGACATCCAAATTTCTGGGTTACGTAACTGAAGGAGAGTTGCTAACATTCTTTAGAATCAGCAGCAGGGGAGGGAAAGTGGGTTTGGGGAAAGACACCAATTTTAGTTTCAGACATATTGACTGAGGTGCTTGTGGGACAGAGTCCAGCTGGCAGAGGAAAATGAATCTGGAATTCAGGACAGAAATCTGGATGACCGCATAAATTGGTGTGTCTTCAGAGGACACAAGTGGTAAAATCATTGAATGTACATACAAGCAATAACTCGACCAGTTGAGGGTCACAGATCCATTTTGGGGGTCACAGATCCATTTGAGAATCTGATGCAAACTATGCCGTCTTTCCTTCCCACTTACCTCAACACAGTAGTGCAAGGATGCAGGCACAACCTTGTATACAATTTCAGAGACCTTACACACCAAGGTTGTGAGCCTATTTTATAAAATAACAAAAGTGCAATATCAAGGACAGAAAATTTGTAGCTCTTCAAGGTACAGATAACAAAAAAGAGGAGAACAAAAGAAAAACATAGATTTAGTGGGGGAAAGAATAGTGAGCAGCAGTACTAT